TTTTGACTCTTGTGTGTCTCTCTTTCTCAGGCGGAGCCCTCTCCGATGAAGACTACCTGGTACTGTCCTCTAGATTTGGTAAGGGTTTCACATTGCATGGGGATTCACAGCCTGTGAGCTAGTACCAGTATAAAGTAGGGTGACTGTGTCAGGGACTGTCCCTGAGGTTAAACTGGATTGTTTCATGTCCCATCTGAGTTGCAAATTAGCCAAAGTGGAATACAAAAGAAATCCTTTGGTTGAATTGCGTTTGCAGATTGATGAATTTGGACTGTTTCTTGCACTGGTTCAAACAAGTGTGATTTGACACACTGTTGTTGTTGCATAAAGGAACACAATAACCATAAAGAGAAGATAAACATAAAGATTTTAACTCCATTTTTTTTAAATTAAACTGTCTGATCATGCACGTCTGTTCATTTCAGTTAATGGTTTAACAACAATTTCTGCCGCTCATTATTAAATATATTTTAAAAACTTCAAAGTATGCATTAGTCATAAGCAGCAATCTTCATATAAACAGTGTCTTTACTGTCTGTCTTTGCTCTACAGCCCACTGTGGTGGAGGAGGAGGAGGATGGGGTGATCTACACAGTTACTGTCAAGCAGCACCACGGTGGACCCAACAGTCCAATGGTAAGTTTAATGTGACTGACTGGTTAAACTATTTGAGATGAGAGGTTCGTGGGGGTTGCAGTAACATTGTCTCTTTCTTTTTTCCTCACTTTTGATCTCATTTCTTTCCCGTCTTCTTCCAGTCCACAGTTTCCAAATCCCAGTGTGTGAAAGCAGGCACAGAAGAGAAGTTGGTGCTCCACCTCCTCCACTCGTTTTGTATGGGCGACTCCTCCTTCATCACCATCTTTCTCTCCACCTATCGATCCTTCACCACCACGGGGAGAGTGCTGGACATCCTCAGTGACAGGTAGGAGACTTTTAGCTGTGATCATTAAAATGAAAAAGAATTTAAAAGGCAGGAAGATCAAAGAAACCGTATAGCAGCTCCTGATGCACGTGAAGCACAGCGGCTATGGCAGCTGTCGGTATTCTGGTTGGCTGGTTTTGAAGCAGCAACATTTCTGACTGATCCTGGTCAGTGGGAGCTCACTTCCACTGGGTTTTAGAGCGACGGCGTACTTGTTAAACTGTAGAAACGAATTAAATTCAACTTTTTTTACATTAGACAACATAGAGGCATAGTACGCTTTGATTCTTATCACACTGAAAATGTTAAATGTTAAAACATCATGTTCTATTACATGTTTTTAATTGCATGTTGTATATTTTCATGGTATAGATGTTTTTGTATACTTATTGTTAATAACAACATATATGTATCTCTGCTGGAGGTTTCTTCTTTTAGCACGCATATATAAAATGGTAAATGGCCTGTATTTGTATAGCGCTTTTACTAGTCCCCCCTAGGGACCCCAAAGCGCTTTACACACCCAGTCATCCACCCATTCACACAC